CATATGTATATTGTACTACATATATTCACATCTTAACTCATTGCATGATGGCTGCCTCATTTTGTTGATCGGACGCATATTTCTACTGCTTTGCGTTTTGTTCTTCTCAGAATTTGAATCAAAATGCATCTGTTGATACTTGGGTGTGTTTTTCATAACTTTGCATATTCAAAAGCCCGTGATGTACTGCGTGGACGGGGTATTTTGCTGGCGCTTCGGATACTTTTTGTGAATTGTTGTGATGTGCTTACGTCAGAGCACGCATCTATGATCAGTGCGTTGTTGAGAGATTTCAAATTTTGTGTCTAAATTAGTGACTAAAGTAGGTGTGCCATATTAAAACATCTACGCAACTTCCTGAATTTTATCCAATAAGTACATAATAGGAGACAAAAGACACACACCAAGAATTAAATCTCAATTTGATCTTTTCATTTTTTCCACACAATTCCTACAGGATGAGTATGTTGCTGCATTCAAAGATAGACGTCCAGCGGGGAATATTCATTTGCTCGTGATCCCGTGTGTTCACATAAATAACGCAAAGTCTCTCAATACAAATGACAAACCTATACGTAAGTATTGTGTTATTTAGGTGTTGTAATTCATTCAACCTACAAAGTCATCTCGCTTACATATGATATTTTAGTCGCCGCAGGTTATTTCGCGTTGCTACCTTTTGCTACTCTTCTACATTATCTCAGCTTGATTGGCACATTTACGTCAGTCGCCCAATTGAGTCGTACACTTTCGCTGACGTCTGCAAACGAAACCTAGGCTAATTTACCAAATTTCTATTCATTTAAGTTGAAAAAATGAGGGATGCGGGACTGAATACATACAAGGATGCGGGAGGAGTTGATGAGCCCATGTATGTAATAGTTCAAAATCGGTTTCGGAATATCGTGAGTTGCATTTGCTTAATGTTTGATTGGATGTAGAATTTCTCCGTGTGCCAGTCTCGTTTATCATTGCTCGCGCTTGTATATTTCATGACGCAAGCTGTATGAAACAGTGTTTGCTTTGGCCAACGCATGAGAGACTGTTATCGCTGATGCGAGTGCGAGAAGTTACCACTGCATCTCACCAATTGTTCGTACCCATGTTTTGGTTGTGCATTTAGGTATATTTATTCTATTTAATCTGTATACAGAATGGGCTTCCACTGGCCGCCGTTCAATTCGATAAACCATTTGCACTTGCATGTCATATCGCCGGCAGGAATGGGCTGGTGGTCTAGATTAGAATTCAATGCGAAATATCCATGGTTTAAACCTTACGATACGGTTGCCAATAACTTACCAACTCCTATGAGTTGAGTAAGTCGCTCCTTGTGTTCATATAATACTAAAAATGCTATAGAAATATGCAGTACTTATTTATTTCGTGGGTTCCGGGTGAGCATATTCTCTTTGTACTTACATCCGGGAGAAAATAAATATCCTAGGCCGAACTAATGCTTTGCACAGTAAGACACTTTTGCTAAGTGCAAAGTATAACTATTCACCACCTCCACAAGCAATATCTCAAAGATAATACGCATACAGGTAGATTTGGGAAGTCATGCGCAAACATCCAGCTGTATTCGTTACTTAACTTCTTACTTAACACCCTTTAGTGTCTGTCGCTGCCTTGCGTATCCCTGTAGTATACTTCGCGCGAAAAGATGCTATCGGTGGCTATTTAATTCCCAGATCGTGCTTTGTAATGTATGTTCATTGTTCGTTCAATTCATCTATCAAATGACACTGTGAGTCCAGGTTGCAAAATAATGAACGTTGTGTCAAATGTGCCTTTTGGGTTGCCATTCGATTTAGCACCCTCAAAGATTCGTCAATAACCCAATCATCTTCCAATTGAGTCCTGTATTTACGATGCGAATCGGTTTTGCATTGACTTGTGTTTATTAGAGTACCATTAAATATGCTATTCGTTTAATGCTTCCGTTGGGTAAACCTTTAGTGTTCTAATCATATATTCTGTTGAACTGCAAGGTCGTTCAACTTTGCTTCATCTCATCATACAGACCTTGAAATATCTTGTTTTGTCCGTACATATTCCGCCTACGGATTACAAGCCTTCTGCCATCTTGGGCTCGACCCAGTTCTATTGTACAATCGACCCGCGAGTCTTAGCCAAGGTCCTTATATTTTTCTCACGGGAAGGAAACATCTTTCATCATCTCCTTGAAAAACTGTACGTACGAAAATGAGTTCACGTCAGACCACGTAAGATGTTTAAAAATAAAGAATCGAGTGAATCGAGCGATTGTTCTTGCAAGATTTTCTAGATGGGGTTTGTAGGGGGCGGAGCAAAGAAAGGACTTCACAAGAAGAAGTTCGATTTCCATGTTGCTGACTTGCTGTATGATATGCTATTTATATTTACTGCTGTACGCAAGCCACTTGATGTAGTGTGTAGACTGTAGACTGTAGACTGCAGTGTAGAGGATACTCGATACCCTAAACGCTAAATAATTAAAATAAACGTTGGCACTTTCTGGCTTCAGGACGTTCACGTTGGGGGCTCAATCGATAGAGACGGCTATTTAGTGTACTCTGTGAGGTAGTGGAGTAGGCGAGGCTTAAATTTTTAATCATTTTGGCTTTTGTATATTTCCAGAAACCAGTTCCAACAAACACGAGTCCTACTCCTCAAATGCATCCAATCCTCCATCATATCAATATTCAAATTTATATCAACACTGATATGAAATATACCTCTCTACGAATCAGATTCACTATTAAATTATAGTAGAGCAACAATAAAAATTATATATAAAAAACCGACTCGCTCTGACAGTCACTTTCCAAAACTTTCTCACTCTCGAGAGATCAGAGAGGAGCTCTTTCTCTGTGGAGAGTAGCGATTAGTATTTAGATTGGCTAGTACATTAACAGTAGTAGGTAGTAAAGTAAATATTGGGAGGAGCGACCGAGCGAGTCTGAACTCTGAGAGTGAGACTGCGCGAGTCAGCGAGAGAGAGAGGGAAGAAGTAAATATTTTCTAAAAAATATATATATAGATTAGCCGTCTAACTGTCGAATGACTGACTCTCTACTAGTAGTCTCTCAAATCTCTATCGGTCAGTTTCTCACTCTCTCTCCATTTCAATTTTAGTTTATACTGTATACTAAAAAAAAACTCCCCCAAATACTGCTTGGTTTTAGTCTAATATTGTTGACTAAAACGTATCATGCACTTCTCTCTCTCAGACTCTCAGACTCTCTCTCTCTCTCTCGCGCTCTCTATATGTACTCTCTCTCAAAACTCTAGAGCTCTCTAGTTGAGTCTCTACTGCTCATCATTGTTCAGGGTTCGCGTCCGGGAACATGCAGCTAAGCAGACAATTTAAAAAAATATGTTGAATGTAAATTAAAACAATGTAAACGCAAATGTATATGTTTTAACGTATCATATTGATATTGTCGACAATGTGTCTCGGGCTCGCCGGTCAGACCTTTTAAGACCGTCTTGAATAATAGAAGGGGCTTTTTTATAGGCCTTTTCGATCTATTTTCAGCAATAGGCTCTCAGCAACAGGCACTCAGGTCTCAGAGTCAGAGTCTCAGGCTCTCAGACTGACTCTCAGGCTCTCAGGCTCTCATGACTCAGGCTCTCAGCCTCAGGCCTCAGTTATTCTAAAATCCCCCCGGCCCTCAACTCCAGCATTCTGACTGGATTTAGACTGGAATTTGGCCCCACCCAGCAGATCGCTGCGAGTCTGTATGCGAGTGTGTGTTATGGTTGAAGGAATACGAGACTCCTAGACCATCATGTTTCTACTCCCACAGGGGCTCACCGCCGTTCGGTTCAGATTATCCAATGCGGTGCTTGTATGGTTCTAGTTCTGCCTAAAAGGTCCTAGGTTACTACCATTTAAACTTGATTTATTAATAGATTGGAGCTGTTACGATCGACTTTTGCTTTGTTATAAAAAATAAGTGACTGAAGTCTACAAGTTTACAACACGCCTCCTTACTCCTCAGCCTAAATCTGAAAACAAGAACTGAACACTCGTAGCTCGTTATTTTTTTGGGTTCAATAGATCAAACCACAAATATCTGAGCATCTATCGGTACCAACCGAACCAAAATGATAAGCGGCCTAGAGGTATTTCAGCACCAGGGTCTATGGTTATGTAGCTATTTTCACTTTTCCTCCCGGGTGCCGGATATATATATATACTTGTACAGTCAAATAACAGCAGCTGTCTTCAAAACATACCTCCAATCTACATCAAACAACATCCAATTTAAAAAGGCTTTATAGCAATCAGGGTAGACATGAGTCGGACCGTGATATATAACAACGTGAAATACACGCAAACTAGCGAAGACGGCATAAAGTTGGATCCTTGCAGTCAAGAACTGCACAGTAATCCTCAAACCTATAGCATCGCGTCTCTACCTCCAACTAACTTTCGGCGTGCAACTTCTGAGCAGAACATATCTCCAGGAAACCGTTATCTACACGGTCTGTTCAACGACATGTATATGGGAGCACTTACGACTGCCGAGCCGTGGGTTCCTCGCGAACAGTCCGACGGAAGTAATAGATTGCATCGCGTCTATTCGAGTAGATCATGCAATATGTCGTCTAGTTGTGATCCACCAAGAGTGAGTCAGATGACCTCGATGTCCGCTCAGCAGTCGCCGTCAGCATCGGAAAGAAAGATTGCGTATGAGGATGACATCGTTGCATCATCACAGCTGATACTGGCTTACCTAGACAACGAGAAACAATCCCGACTTTTACAACCGTATACCAGCGGTGAGCAGCCCACACACATGCGTGATCTTCAATCACATGGCAGCGTGAATCCGATAGATAAAAATTTAGGCGCGAATCAGCAGCAGTTTCTATGGCCATCGACTGAGACAGGCAACACGGAGAGTGATGTAGGAAACCGTTATCAAATTCCGGCTGTGATTGGAAACGGGCATTCACAATTGTCAAATCTACAAGAGAACGCAGTCTCATCTAGTCAGAGTTGGAACGGTGCACCATATGCTGGTCCTGGAACTTTCCTTCATGATCAACAGCCACAACCACACACCACCCAGCAGGGATGCAATTATCCCGTTGCTCGACAATCATTGCCACAAATGTATCGATCGGCTTTTTCACCGCCTTCGGGACACAGGCAATCGAATAGCCCAGTGACCACTTTGTCTACACCCATGTATTCGTCAATTGATCTATCCAAGCCCCCTAAGAGACACCGCCGTCGCAAAAGTATATTGAATCTACAATTTCACTGTGAAGTGCCCGGTTGCGAGAGAAAATACGCGAGCAAGTTGTCCCGCAAACAACATTACCTACTAAAACACCCATCAGAAAAATTTGACACAAAATAGTGTTGTTTTTGTAAGACAATGTAAAACACATAATAAAATTAGGAACAAAGAATACAGCGTCACTCATATGTAGTTACTGAATCTTGTCAGTGTACACGTGATAAAATTCATTTGTGGTCTGTGTAAAGTACACGAGTAGACCATTCTAGCCAAGATGTCGAGTAATTCCACCATCTGGAGCTATCGCAACGTACAGGAAACCATTAGGCATGGCCTAATTGTCCCCACCCCTGGGAATTACTTTGAAATACAACATCGGGTCCCAAAATGTAAAACCTAATCTCTCTGGTATTTCACACTGGTCAGCAAGCATACATAGGAGGGTCTAAAAATCATCCGGTGGATGACAACTAGCGATGACTGCCGGCACTCTAAAGGTGAACAAGTCACCTGACAATATCCCTGGAGATGACCTCCTTCATCACCTCGTTTGTCCCGCCGTAGATTTTTTGAACGCGCCTGCACAATCAGAAAAAGCAGATAATGAAACAGCTTGTGAGTGAGCGTAGGTTTGAACAATTTCTGTTTGGATTGACGGCCTTCTTAAATCTCGGCGTCGCCAGCCAATTATCAGCCAGGTGACTACATAAATTTGCGGACAAAGGATGCTTTGTAACTATTGACTGATACTTCCTAAATGCAAATGCAGCAAGCCGCATGAATCAACAAGAGACATAAAATTAAAACATGGAGTATCCGCTTTTCGAGAGATTTTATAGTTGTATGGAGACAGAACCTACAAAGAAACTATTAGCTATGGATACTCCTACTGTACAACAGCTACAAGGTAAAAGTTAGTGGGAACCTTCTATCCTCCCAGCAGTGTAGTGTCTCGACAACGGTAAACCTGGTATTGATTTTTAGAGCGCATACAGATATACTCAGTTATTATCAGGTCCTATAAAAAAAAAGATCTGATCTTACATACCCATCAAGGAATGCTTTGCAAACCGGATACTCGGTCATGTAACCCCAACCCCCATGCAACTGGACGCACTCGTCTGCTACTCGGTGTTGTAGATCAGTTCCAATCACTTTCGCCATTGACGCCGTCGCCTGTAATTACGTAATTGATGAGATCAAACTTCAGCTTATACATGTGTAATTCTGCTAGGGTTGTGAACGCCGAAATTGTTGAGGTACTCGCCAGGGGTCAATATCCCACACAAACTGGAAATAAATACTCCACCCTATCCAAAATATAGAAAAAGACGATTCCAGAAACAAGTACACAAGAAAAGGGTGATAATCAACTGTCGTCTCCTAGTCGCGTATGTCGACAAGTGCTTCACTTCCTTCGAAGGAATAATGGGAGGATACACAACCATTGCGTACCGTATCCAGCTTGCCCCGAGCGTGCAGCTCAATACAATTGTCCAGGAATGCACGGGCAACGCAGATCTCGGTTTTGAGTTGAGCCATTGTGTGCCGGATCGTCTGCAGTGCCGCCAATGGTTTGCCGAACGCTTTGCGCTCCTTAATGTAGGCACGAGTGATCTCAAACACCTTTTCTGCTTGGGATACACCCATGTCCTAGTGGGTGGGGAACATAATTGGAGCGTCAACAACCGGAAAGTACGTGTACGGAGAAGCTCTCGAGCACGTGGTCACGATAACATATTATAACACAGGCGCAGACTTGTCGACTAGATCTGCAAGCAGCACGAGAATATGACTAGAGCAAAAATAAATAAATAGATATGCGTACAAGGAAGAGGGTTTTGGCACTCAATTTTGACATCTGAAAGGCTAGATCACCAAAAGACGCAGGACATACCGCAATCAGCAGACGTTCCTGAGGGAGTTCGTCCATAAGATAGTAGAATCCTATAGAGTCAAAGACATAGCAATATTGAGATTTTCCCTGGAATTGTGTTCAATAAAATACGGCAAGAGGCGGCTCCAACATGAACATCATCCAAAAGCTACAACTTAATCCACTACACGCCAATACGAGGCAAGCTGTGTATCATACACGTTCCAACTTAAATATCCATACCATGATTCTCTTTCCCAAGCACGTTATCCTCTGTGAGCTTCACATTGTCAAAAAATAGCTCAGAAGTATCCTGAGCCTTCATTCCCATCTGAGGACAACCGGGTTTACATTGGCTATGAATAATTAATGAGGACCACGTATTTTCAAATCGGCGCGCGTATCACCCACACGCGATCAGTGCATCGACTATAAAAGGCGGGCAGTTGGTCAGCAAACCGACTGAACACTAAGCTATTCATATCAATGCTGTCAATCAAATACATATCAAACATATGTCATGGGTCGTTCACAAAGGGTCGGAATGCTCGCGCTATATTGATATAAATCAGCCTTCCCCCCCAAAAAAGCTCCCATAAATTACACCATACCTTGTCTAGGTTTTTCCCTCTCGAGAATCCTGGCATGCCGGTCTCAACCTGCGATATACCCGGACCGGTATCGGAATTGATAAACATGGCAACATATCGAATTCATAAACATGGGCAAACAAAATGATAAACATGGTAACATATGTGTACTATGCCCTGCGTACTGCGACGAACTGTCCTCAAAAAATCGCCGAAGAGACAATGTGCCTACCACAAACAAAAGCCTGTTGGTATCACTCAGTGCTGACCACTGCACATAGCAATTTAATCCTCTATTAGGGAATTCATTTTGCGGCACGATGTGTAACTACTTATACAGAATTTAGCCAGGCACCATACAACCACTCTGTTAAGAACCATGGCGAGCAAGCTCGGGACGAATACACAGCTGATGCCTTCAAATAACTCAAAACTCATTCATGCTTTGAGTGAGAGATTCCCAGTAGCAAGTTGCATACAGACATGCAAGCTGTCAGCAAAACAGGATAAGCCGAATGAGATTCAGAGCGAGAACCTATTGCAACTTACCAGGAACAGGGAGATTCCGTGAGGTCCCTTTTCGGGGGCGGTTTTAGCGCACACAATGGTCACGTCTGCCATAGCCCCGTTGGTAATGAATACCTTCGACCCATTGAGTGTGTACGTGCCGTCAGCCTCTTTTACGGCATGGCTTTTCATACCAGCCAGATCACTGCCTGCGTTGGGTTCGGTCATCGCAATGGCTCCTATCTTCTCGCCTGAAAATCAATAGTCACAAGAGAGAGGCATTAGAAAATAGGTCTAAAACACTGCACCTGTCATAGAAAATTAGGAGCATGCCGGCACTATAGCACAACACATCTAAAGGTTTTAAGGAACGAATGCTGTGGTATTAGTGTTGATGTTGAATGAGTATCCGGTATGTACTCAAACAAATTAAGTCATCTGTACTAAAGGTACGTCGGACTCACCTGCAGCCATGGCGGGTAAAAACTTCTGCTTCTGAGCCTCAGTACCGTAGTGCTGTATACAGGAATGAGGTGCATGCAACAAGTTTAAGATGTCACTCCAAAACACCATTAAAAAAACTAACACGTCTTGTCTACAAACCAAAAAAATAGGATACATTTAGATGGAGGTAAGCTATTCAATGTGCCATGCTATTCAAGTAGACTTAAACATCTGGAGAAGCATCTGTATGGCAACTTCAACACTGTTGCATACCTCAATATACGGCATAACAATATCTGAGTGCAGAAAGAAGCCTGGGCCAGTACAGAGCGAATACGCCTGCTCTTCCCATACCACCGCAGAGAACTTGGCATCACACCCAGCCCCACCGTACTCTACAGAGGTTGCCGCTCCTAGTAAACCGGCCGCGCCTGCCTGTTGCCAACACTCACGAGAGACTTGGCCTTGCTTCTCCCATTTAGCTAACAGAAAGTTGAGTGGATAGGGAAAAAGAAATAGGCAGACGAATGACTAACAAAATATTGGGAAAGGGAAATGTGTGTTCATGGTATACTTCACGACTGGGTTGTCATCGTTTGCGCCCTCAGTCTACCGCGAAGTTTTTAAAACAGTGTGCACACGCAAATTCGGTGACAATATGGAAGATCGTGCCACCGATGAGGGAATCGAGTCTGTCACACACGCACAAAAAGGTTCACCTGTATACGGTTTGCAGTGGTCGTCAAAGAATTTGCGCACAGTTTCGCGGAACATATCGTGCTCTTCATTGAAAATTCTGCGCGTTCCAAAGTCAGTCATTTCTTTCGCGGAATGCGGCTGTCGGGGATGACATGAGATAGCATTCGTGTTTTTAGATTTGGATGAGTCTATTTGGATCTAACTACCGTTACCGAATGTTTACGAATCAGGTTGGAGGCTCGAACAATAAGTATTTGCCTACTTCTACCTGACTGTGGCAGCTTGGCTAAATGCGCATACAAACATGCACAAAGTGTGCATAGCATAGACAAATCTAGACACACGCATACATGCCCAACAACATTCATAGCTACAACTACACGATGAAAACTTCGTTTATTTAAAAACCACCAATACAGTGTCAGAGCTCAGCTTGGCGTCAGATGTTATAGAGATGGCAGAAAAAATGCATAGAGATGTGTTGGGAACCGCTTACTTATAATAAGATGCAAATTCCTTTCATTTGAAATCAGCATGGAAAACCGAGCAGAATACGCATTTACATAACCGTATGGTACTGCTTCGATTCATATTCAAAACCATCACTATAAAATATATATACATAGTATATAGACACATATGAAGGAGTCTACGAAACCGCCAACACACACACAAGCACTTAAACATAGACATATCGACACATATATATATATCTACAAATGTACATATACACATACCACACATCTACAAATCTACATCTACACTCACAAACCCACACACACATATATATATATATATATACCACCCACCCACCCACCCACCACAAGCACAAGCACACACCCATATATATGTATTTTAACTATATACACGCACACATCCTGACAAACCCACACCCACTACACACACACTCCCACCCACCCACACACAATAATATATATATAATATATATACGACACACACACACACACATATATATATATATATATATATATATATAATATACATATACACACACATATATATATACATATATATATATATATATATATATATATATATGCGTTTGTCTGTAGGTGTGCTGTACACTACCGTAAACACGCCCAATGGCACGGAAGCGTATATGAATGTATCTCGAGTTTGGTCGGTTAGCCACATTTGTTCACTAAGCTTTAAACCTTTCGACTGGTGCTACAAAGTAAAAGGCAATCTCACTGTTTAACAGTCATCCCGAAAACTTTAAAAATCTGCGAAGTATGTTGACTTTATAATATTTTGTGCATCGTCACTTCATACAGGTTCACAAATTTTTAAGATTAGCGCCCCACATACCTCTGTTCGAAAGGGGCTCGAATTGGCATCCTCTTGAATCAGACTATACGACCGCTTCACAACAGACCTTGCAAAGTGGCGTGTAGTAGGTCGTGCCAACATGCTGAGGTGTGTGACAGGCATTCTGCTCTTGATGTATAACACACTTCTCCTGAGTCTTGAGTCCTGTGGAAATGAATTACACCGGGCGGCGGGCAGGTTATTTTCAAATATGTAATGATATGTATTGATTTATTTTCACCCTCTGTGCAGACTTGAAGCCTGAACTTCTGAAGCCTTGAGTTCCTGGAAGTTGGAGGCTATTTATGCTATTTTCATTTTTCTCCAAAACATTCCTATTATTTTTTTATCACACACAGCCTCATCATCCTCATGCCCTCATCACAGGGTGTAAATACTTTTTGGAAAATAATACATAAATACCCACTAAATAGTAAATAGGTATTCATCGTTTGGGTTGTTTTTGATTTTTTTTTGTTTCTTGTTTGTTTGTTGGGTGTTATTGTTTTTTAAAAAACAAAAGGCGGCGCGGCGGCGGCGGCGGCGGCGGCGGCGGCGGCGGTCGGAGGCGGAAGGCCAACATTTTTTCATTTTCTTTGTACAGACAGTGTGTCTATATTTAAAAAAAAATGCTATATATTTTTATGGGGTTCGTGGGTTTTGAAAAAAATAAATAAAAAAGGCAACTGCATATTTATGTAGCCTCCTAAAAATTACCAAAAAAAAATAGATAACAAAAAATTTAAATGTGTTGAATGTGTTCTGTCGATATATATATATATAAAATAGTTCCTGAGTTCCCCCCGGGGTCTGGACTGTGGCCTGCCGGCTGCCTATGAGTTTTCACTTTTCACTGTTTTCAGTTTTCGACATGTGAATGTTTTGTTTTGTTTTCATTTATAAAATACGTAAAATTGTGAATATCTTGTAAGAACAAGATCGTGCCTTCGTTGTGGTAAATATTTAATTTTAAAATAGAATTTCCATGAACAGATCTTTCCCAAATCTCACCAGCATCAACCAGCCTCCAAGACTTGCCAGATAGGTGGGTCAAATTAAAAATAGATGAAATATAAGTTCTAAGAACTTGGTCTGTTCGGGTATGTATTCTTGTCACTCACTCTTGTTGCAGAGTAGAGATAAAGTGTCAACAGGATATGAGAATGAAATATGCCTTCCTACTCTCTAGTAGCGAGTACAGGGTGATGAGGGGGCTTGTTTGGTTCTGTGTATCAGGTTCGTCTATGTGGTCGAAGGCATTTCAACCAATTAGGACACAGATTAAACTATACGCCGCATTGAACTCCTCGGATTGCTTGCTGGTGGCGATGTTGGAGGATATGTTCTTCTCACTCACTCTCTAGAGTAGAGATGGAAGGAGCAGGTCAACAGGATAATATGCCATAATACTCTCCAGTAACGGGGGTCATGAGGGTGCTTGTTTTGTACTTTGTACATTGTTATCAGCTTCGTCTATGTAAGTCGGTGATATTTCAACCTCGGATCGCTTGCTGGTGATGATCCCCTTAGGTAAATAGTCGCATTACGGAGGTCAACTATGGATGGCACTTCGGTATTGTGCTGGACAGCGAAATAAACTTTGTCACAAAGATGCACAAGTGAGATGAAACGGATGCACATCATAAACCAAATGAAGCGGCAGCTACGCGTGATTCTATCCACTCTTATCGACTGATACTTTACTTATACTGGAATCCAAAACATAATCTAGATTTCGTAAAACATTTCATTATTGCTTGTCGGCGCATGGGACCCCAACACCATGCCTATCGAGTACCACCGCAGTACATTACTGCACCCGAATATGCGCCCAATTATAGCGAACCCAAGTGTGCCATAGCTCGGCAGCAACGCAATCATGCAACGGATTATCAAAAATTCCCACCCACATGTTTGAAGGTAAAACGGCTCTGTACCGGATAATTGTCTGACCTCAACGTCCATAACGTGTATATCCTCTATATCAGTGCAGAGGAACGTGCGTTTCGAGACCACAGCCTATACAAGCAGTAATATTTGAAACAGACGTATCAAACGTATTACAGACTTGCGGCATCTAGAAATTATAGTTAACGAATGCATGCCAAGTCCAGGGGTAGGACTGCAGTGTCTGTCACACGGACGCTCCCGAGTCAGGTCGAGGCGTGTGCATCACCTGCACACCCAGCCAAAGGGAAAGCAACTCCTTATCCAGCACGGTAATGATGGGTTCTTCAATGCAACACGCTGCAAACAACGGTTCTGGGTTGGTATACGAGGTGTTTAGTCGACCTATGGCACGCACAGGACCATCTAGCCGATACATCCACACGAACGTATACACAAACGGTCAATTTCCCACGCCAAAAGATATCCATTTGGAAATATTTGCTGCCTACAGAGTACAGAGTACAGGTACGTGCACTGGAGCAGTTTAGGTTCTTATCGTGGGAATGTAAGAACATACCTTTCTGGAAAGATCAAACTAACAGTGAATAAACTACTTGCTAAATTCTTTATTTATTCATTAGTTTTCCCATGAACTAGCTCAGGGTATACTTCAGTAGGAGGACCACCTTCCAGCACGGACTCTACAGCTGCTTTCGTCTTTTCAATGACATCTATTAAAATAAACAATACAGACCACAGCTGAATACATATTCGATGGGTTACATTGTAAATAGAACACACGACTTGATCGCGAACGATTACTAGAGAAGATCAGATTGAGTCGATTATAGATATCACGTTACAAGTGAAACTAGCGGAAGTCTTAGCGACAATTAACCTGGTCTCGTACCAAAGTCAATATACAATATGCATACTCGAGTAGGCACTTCTCCGGGAAAAAAAATTGCGCTACAACACAAATGTATCCTATGCTGTGCCAGCCATCAATACGTACCAAGCATAGCCGTGTGCAATAAGTTGTTTCAAAGAAGCACTCACATTGATTTGATATCACAAATACGTACAGTACACGTCTACATCAAATTCGGACAAGGACACATGTAGGCATGCGCGAAAAGCCTTACCATTATTAAAATACTTCCGCAGGAACACCAAGGTGGCATCCACGCACATTTCGGCAGCTTTGACGGCATCAATCTCGCCGCCCATGCTCATGTAGCGCATTAATGCGGGATATAGGAGGGGCAAGTCCTGCATAGTGTGTTGTGTGAAGGACTATCAGTATAGTCTGAGCAGTAGACAAGCAAGTGCAAGGAGGTGGGCTTGTATCGCCACAGACAAACTCTGGACATCGCATAAGAAAACTTGGCCTGGAACAAACGGCGCCCAATTCGCCGATCGCAAAAGGGTTCCGTCACATGAACCGACAGACATACGCTTTGATTTTGATGTAGTGATTTACAAATGGCCACCATTCGCGCATTGTCTCGCCCATACTTCTCGTCCTTCCCTTTCATCACAGCCGTTTGCTTTTTGAAATTGGCATCCCATTGGAATTTGGACGTGTTGATGAATAATCGGGGAATACTTGGATACTCTGCTTCGAATCCCTGATATGTGAGATATGTGACAGTGTGACAGTAAGACACCGGACGCAGGTAGAGCGGGAAGGTTGACACCGAGCGAAAATATTAATTGCGCATAACTGGTGAAGCAGATAGCAACAGATATGCTTTTACGCAACTTTACACATAAAACAAAGACAAACTGAGTCAACGAGCCGCGTAGAAGGTTTGAGCATATTGGCCGATGTGCAAGGGTAGAAGCCAGTCACACCGAAAGTGGACTAAGAGACGATGCAATACAGCCAAATAGAAAAATATAGTATAGCATGGAGATGATCAAAACAGGCAGGAGATGGTGCACGACACAAGTGGGATGAAAAGTACATCACACTCTATATACGGAGATGTTACTTCGACGCACCCATATGCTCGTGTGTGTGTGTTTCCGCCAACAACTGCACAGTCGCCCAGATACACATACAGACATGCATGCGCACGCAGAATTTCGTCCATCCCAAGTGCGGCACATCGATATCAGTTCACTATCTACTATCAGGCGGGAGAGCGGAAAGATAGCACTGACTTAACAACAAACACCAATTATCGCCTGCAATCCGTGCAATGGTACGCAACTGGCTGAGCTACTACATCCATACCTCGTCACAAGGAATCATCCAAGCATCCTGCACCACACAGGCCGTGAACCGCCTGTCTGCGGCGGCTGTTTGAAGCGCGGTGATGCCTCTGCAAATACACCGAATAGCGCTCATGAGACAGACGGCAGACCAAAGTGTATGACGAAAGCGACTGAATAGCTATCCACCCACTACAAAGCAGTAGTGACCCGCGATCACTTTCAGTCAAATAGTTCAGCTGAGATATCATAGACACATGCCCATCGAAAGCACAATGAAACTAGTGTATAAAATGAGTACTTGAGCATTTCATACACTACTTGAACTTGAGCATTCCACAGAGTACTTGGGTATTCCACAGAGCAGTCCACAGTGTACTTGAGCATTCCACAATGTACTTGAGCATTCCACAATGTACTTGAGCATTCCACAGTGTACTTGAGCATTCCACAGTGTACTTGAGCATTCCACAATGTACGACCATTTGCAGCACATACCCGAAAGAGTGTCCGGCCATGACACACCGGCTCATGTCTATTCGTCCAATCATACTTGCCGATTGCGTGAACTTGATACCTTCTTTCTGCACACATTCCAAATCAGACCCTTCATTTAGATGCTCTATGACGTTCAAAGCTTCCTTAACTTCTTCTATTCTGGGTTCCCGATGATCGAATGGTTGTGTGAGTTGATTCCATGCGCAACAGCGCTTCTGTGATACACATTCGAAGGATATTCGGCGTACTGACACTTCGGCTTAGGTAAACGTATACTGTTCATGGTGATGGCTAGTCACAACGACGGACCTATGTGTAGACAGAAACAGTATAACGGGATCGCTGTGTAGCAACATAAATCACATACCAAACGCGAAGAAACGTGGACGCGACAAGAGGCGGGCAAGGTACACGACTATATCTATAGTAGCAATAACAGGACCTGTGCACACTACACAGCTTGACAGTAGATATAGATACGTAATAATTCTAATACACAGATGCAACAAACAGTGGCATACTTATCAGGCCACCTCTGATGCCTGTGTGTTTAAGAACGTATAGCATGAATATAATACAAGCAGAATACAGCATAGATAGGATGTGTATAAAAACGTACAGAGCATGAATATAATACAAGCAGAATAGAGCATAGATAGGATGTGTGAAAGTACGTATAGAGGATGACTACAGCACATGTGAAGTACCTGTGGTGTAGCTGCCGATTGCGCTCAGCCATCTCGCTCGCAAGGGAAGAGTTATCTACTTTCTAAAGAAGAAAAGCAGTCCCATTTGCATGGGCGAGATTAGTACAACTTCTCTCCGAGTGCGCAAACGCGTGGCAGCGCCCAGTCCACAGATGAAACTCACAGCGACATTCACAATAAGTGATTCTCCATTGACACGTACACACACACAGAGGGCAGCACGTACGAGCTGCAATGCTCACGGCACAGCGGTCTGTTCTACAGTCGAAGGCGCCTGGAGAGTTTGCGCGTATAGATATAAGTTGCGAACTAGTTTATGCCAAAAGTGTGCGAATTCACTACATATCTCAGCGGTAACGAGTGGAATACATGGGATACAATACCATCACTCTGTTCATACAGGCTTCAAGGAATCACACTGCAGCACTCAATAGGACAAGTGATGAATAATTCACAACAAATAGCCGCACAACAAGGGACGTATATCCCTCCAGTGTGGGAAGATAAGCACACACAAATGCGTGAGATGTTGTTGCATTGCTGATAATACGCTAGAAAGCCACAGAACATGGGCAGGATGGGTTGCACGCTCAAGTCGGCCTATACAAGTCTAGCTGAGGCCGTATAGGTGCACGGGGGTCACAAGCCGGTAAACTTCTTAAAACCACACTCTGATACACCTTCGAGGTCCGAACCCCTGCACCGTGACCAAGCATACAAGGGTGTGTACGGACATACCTGGTAGTACAACGGCCCGGATTCTAACATTGCGGTTGATGCCGTGCCATCTCGATGTTCCACAGACGCTACTATGAACCCTTGTGCTGCGATCGATGCGCAGTAGTAGCTGCAACACCCGCATGAAACTATACATGAGCATGAGCCACGACGATGATTCACAACCCCACGGACGCTACTTCGCAACCCCTGCTGCCCTATTACGCGCTACTTTGGGTGCGGCGAAGGACGGGGCAATTGTACAAGCAACTACTGGACTAGCATTCAATGCCACGACAATACCTGCGCGGCTATTGCCATACAGGTGGACTGTTTCCCACCATGCATTAGTAGACTAGCGATGGATACACAGAATCTCCAAAGATGTACTTGGTGCAGTTACGCTGGTAAGTATCTCGCCCATAAGGAAGCAGGCATCCGCATCGATGATTACATAATTCTAATCAATCCGAACAAACTGTAAACTAGCACAGAACACACGACGCCAGGTTTTCCAATATGATCAATCAAAACACGAGGTTGTCGCACTGGCTGTGGTTTTCTATCGGGCGTATAATACCACACAACAGAGTGCAGATGTACAGACAGAGGTAGCAAAGAATAAAGCCACCCATACCGTCGTGACAAACCATTTGCCACACTCAAATCGTTCTCCATTCTATGTTGAAATATGGCGACTATCCATTTCACAACTATTTCAATACCACACCCAAATACAAAGGGTCCGGTGACCCATACTGGACATATCCAAACTTGTTACTGCCGCAAGGCCATGCCGAAAACTCACACAGTTAGTGCATGCACGGAATGAAAGCACAGCCCCAGCGGTTCAACCATTCCAAAGAGTGTAGAATGTCAAACTACGTAAATGCAGACGTCTCGCTTACCTGTATGCCGTGCGATTGCCGCCCAACCCGTGACTGAAGACCATCAAAGGAAACTTCTCCGGCACCTGACGTAAGAAGCGGCACGAGTAGTCCAGGTGCTCATTTAAGTTAGTAGAACAATCGTACGTTACCAAGATTCAACAGCATATCAAATAGCCTATGTAAATCACCCCCATACACAAGGAAAACATATACGTAACCAAGATTCAACAGCATATCAAATAGCCTGTGTAAATCATCCCCATAGACAAGAAAACATATACGTAACCAAGATTCAACAGCATATCAAATAGCTTTGTAAATCATCCCCATCGATAAGGAAAACATATACGTAACCAAGATTCAACAGCATATCAAATAGCCTATGTAGATCATCCCCATAGACAAGGAAAACATATACGTAACCAAGATTCAACAGCATATCATATAGCTTTGTAAATCATCCCCATAGACAAGGAAAACATATACGTAACCAAGATTCAACAGCATATCAAATAGCTTTGTAAATCATCCCCATAGACAAGGAAAACATATACGTAACCAAGATTCAACAGCATATCAAATAGCTTTTTAAATCATCCCCATAGATAAGGAAAACATGTACGTAACCAAGATTCAACAGCATATCAAATAACCTATGTAAATCATCCCCATAGACAAGGAAAACATATACGTAACCAAGATTCAACAGCATATCAAATAGCCTATGTAAATCATCCCCATAGACTAGGAAAACATATACGTAACCAATATTCAGCAGCATATCAAATAGCTTTGTAAATCATCCCCATAGATAAGGAAAACATATACGTAACCAAGATTCAACAGCATATCAAATAGCCGATGTAAATCATCCCCATAGTCAAGGAAAACATATACGTAACCAAGATTCAACAGCATATCAAATAGCTAATGTTAATCATCCCCATAGACAAAGAAAACATATACGTAACCAAGATTCAACAACATATCAGTTAACATATACAAATCACCTCCATAGACCTTAGAAAACACATACTGACAGCTTGGCATCGGCGACCACGTTGTCAGCCTTGATTAAAGGCAGGTCGATCTCAGTCGGCAGAACTGTTCTGCCCAGCAGAAACCTATACTCACAGAAGAGAATGGGAATAGAAGGTTAAAATCTGGTTTGCCAAGCAGATAGCTTATCATGCTATTGTTAACAATAATTGCGTATCAAGCTAGATCTATTTAAAAATGAACTAAAACGCGGTTGCTTCCGCCATATTGTCTGCAATCAAACCTGCCCCATCGCCAATACATCCAACTACAAAATTTGAACTGCTTTGAAGTCATATAGATCAGCTCCCTTGCATGTGTGTTGTATGCCAAATATACTAATAGTCACCGGGAAATAAGAGAAGAGATCCCTCATGCATCACACAGGTGCACTCAAATTCGTGTGCACTGTACGTATGAGTAACCAATGGTAGGTGTTGGTATGGTGCCAATACACATATTCTGCACGCCCACTAGATATCGCAGTGCGGCGCACCAAAACCCTGCATTTTAGCAGATGGCATGGGAATAACCATTTGCACCTCTAAACGGGCACCGATGTGATCAGGATAGAGCCTTGTAGGACCTATATCAATTCTAACACCTACACGTACAAGGTAGGACCATATAGCACTCGCATACAAATTCCGTGCAAATTGCCCAGATGCACTGAATACAACCTTTCCAACACAACTCAGCGAGCTACCCCGTACCTGATAGAAGCACCGACCAAAGTGGGCCATTTCATAAACGTTCCATAGCCGGTGGCGTACGACGGATGCGGCAACCATAAAGGCCGTTGCTTGGGTCTATTGTAGAATCACACATGTCATTAAGGATAAGAAGTGAGTATCTGGAATACCTGACGATATCTTGACGAATCTTGTGACTTGACGTAATTTTGACACAGAATTGTTCACAATGCGCCCCAGACAAACGTAATTCTAATTCCATTGCAAACCAGACTTGAAAATAATTAAACTTGGTGGCATACAATGTTATACTTCTGTACATAAGAGAACAGACCACACACACATTGCGTTGCAGTGTTAGATAGATACGAAAAACCACCACGATTAGTATATGAGAGGAAAAAAACCCCAATGAGCACATTTAAAATTATTCATACGTTTTGCGATGAAGACCACACATGCATGATGCACAAGACTTTTTTGATTCCGACATATCCACAGGGTATATGCTTGCTAGCGCATATCATAAGAAGTTGATGCGAATTAAGCATGTGCAACGTTGTAGAAAATATCATTGGTATGGTCGTGCACTCATCGATATTAAATAAGTATACAATTTCAGAGCACCACTTTGGATGGACTTACTTGCTAACAGACGTCTCATTCCCCTTCAAAGACGAGGGGTACCACAGTCGCATCTGAGTACCATGAGGTGTATCTGACTTCCTGTAAGAGATTGGCAAAAGACAGAGACTACAACTCAGTTACTTGCAGACATGCCCCCATAACGGTTTATTTTGAATGACGCAGATATACGAGATTCCAGTAGTTAAAACTTCGTCAAGAATCCAAATTGCTATTGTGTATTTCGGGCAAATGAGCGACTCAATAGCTTGGACAACACTAACACCACTGCTGCGTGGACACACAACCTAAAGTCGATTGAATAACTGTTCAAATAAACTAATAAGCCGATGACTATGTCCGGATGTTTCTAAGCAAGCGATCTCACGAGGACTGTACAGAAACAAGAGCAACGAACTAGACAGGCGTTACAAAAAATGCATCACAAAAATGAAGTAGGCCTTGTGATGCCACGACCACTAACTTTGCAAAGGAAACTGTACAGTGTACAATGACTGTTGACCAACATACCTTTCCAAATCAGCCACTGCAATGGAGTATTTGCCTCGTAATGATGGAAAGCTCATCGTCGCACTGGAAAAGGAACAGTTCAATCGATAAACATGAATATGAGCAACATGAATATTCAATTTTGTAACAAGTTAAGAGTAATCAGCAAGTATATGTATATAAATATATATTTATATA